ATCTCTTAAAAACAGTCTCCACTTATAAAAGAGTGTATAAAAGATGCATTTAAGAAGCTGCTCTACTTTACACCAAGGAGGGGGAGGAGGAAAGAAAGACATGAATGTGCTGAAACTGAATGATAATAAAATCATTTAAACCCAAAATGAAATGAGAAAAAATTGTTACTACATCAGTAGAAAAAGTGACTTCAGAGCATTAAAAATGCTGCAATATATACTTGAAACATTTTATTTGCATTCAAAACAAATATGTTAATTCATTAACTTCTGGTGCAGGACCAAGTCGTTTTTTCTACACAGGTCAGCTGCCTGGAGCTCTTAAGCAAGTCGTGACCAAATGCCTCTACCACCACCTAGTTTAGACGGAAAAAAATGTAGAGCAATTTGTCTTTCCTGAGTCTTTCGAAAACATTTAGCTTAGGTCACAGAAGAACAGCTCTCTTCCCCCATCCACACTTCATGTGTGCAGTATGTTAACGACTGGACATCGTTATGGTAACAAGCACACTGGCCGAAACAGGCTTGAGAACAAACACAGTTGCCTCCAGGTGAGCAACCACCCACCGCGGTGGGCAGGCGGAGCCCAGGGCTCCGGGACTCTGAAGTCAGCGGAACGTCAGGCAACTGCCCTGTTAACCTGCGCTCCTGACCGGCTTATGGTCATGCACGTGACTGTGAGGGCATCTGGTGCCGATGTTCCCACAGCAGAACTGGGACGCAACCACAGTCGTGAACCTGCGTCTGACGGTTTTATAGAATAATGACTGGTTTCGCTCCCAGACGGATGTCCGTGACTTTCTATCAAATTATAAAGATATTTATGTAGTTCACTGCGGTTTGTTTCTGTGCGCTGTGTGAAACACACACAACTGAGTATTACTCGGTCCCGTGATGAAACATCATCACCCTTGAGCTACCAGAGAGCAGTCATCTCACGCTGTTTAGCATTTAGCTCAGTTTTACGCTAAGCCGCCTAATACATGCTTTTTGCTGATAAAATAATCTTTATTCTCTGGCCTTCAAATATCCTTCTGACACCTTGGCCTCTCCATGCTCTGAACGCCTCCCTTGAACTGCTCACTCCATGAGACCCAGTCAGGCTCTGCTGCCCCCAGGAACCACAGCCCCTTCCTGATGGACCTCACACCACCCACCCCGGGATGACCCCTCCTTCCTCCAGCTTAATCCATCACATCACCACTCCTGGAAGCCTTCCATCCCCGACACGACCTAAAATCTGCTGTTCCTACCACCTTTTCTCTGTCCTCCTTTCTCTGCCCAGGTTCAGGTCTGTGGTCAATCATTACACCGTTGACCCTTGAACAACTTGGTTTGAACTGTGCGAGTCCACTCACATGTGGGTATTTTTCAACAGTAAATACTACAGTATTACATGATCTGTGGTTGGCTGAATCCACGGACGCAGAGGCCCTGAAGATGGAGGTGGGGAGCCGGGGGCGACCATAAATTATCTGAGGATTAACCCCCACATTGTTCAAGGGTCCACTGGGATCACTCCCTTGCTTTTAACTTCAACCTCTGTCCCTCCACAGCTTCTTCATACTCATTTGGTGAGATTCCAGCCCTGGGTAAACCTGCTTCCCTGCTGAGTCTGCATCTGCACTGGGGCAGCTGAACGGGCAATGCTGTGGGGTCACCCCTGAGTCACCTGCTCAGCGGTCACCTATTCCCCTGGTCGTCACTGGCCCTCTCGCCTAGAGGCCATCCCACCCAGTGTCTTTTCCTTCAGACTCTCTGTATCTCTCTCCCTCTCCCCAACTCTCGCTCACAGATGATCTTGCTTCCTGCTTTACTAAGCAAATAGAAACAATCAGGCCAAGTTGTGACAAACTTCCACGGCCACCTTCCCCTTCTGCCAGCACACGTGCCTTACGTTCCACCGCCCTCCTGTCACCGGGGATGAAGCCAGTGTGCAGGGGATGAG